ATAGTTTAGTATTTTATAGGCTAAAGAGCGCGTAAAGATAGCGGCTTTGTCTTTTAGACGGGCTATCTCTCGGGCGCTGCCTTCTGGTCGCGGTCGCGACGGTACCTTATTAGAAGAGCTATAGGATATATTATACCAGCTTCGGTGTGTTAAGGGTATAGCGGGTATCCTGTTAGATTATTATATAAATAGCCTCGATATTGTCCTCTTATAACTCCTATACGGTACTAAGTCGGCTAACTATTTCATTCTAGGGTCTTAAGTACGTTAAGAACGGTGTTAGCACCCCCTAGACGGGTAATAAGGAAATAAATAACGAGGAGTAGTCGTTTTAGTGCTACCGGGGTCCCGGCTTATAGGGCCCCTATATAATCCTAAACTAGTTATCGTGTTCTCCAGCTCCGCTATAGTGCTACCGCGTTCTCGTAGGCGTCCGTGCCTTAGAGGGCGAGCCCGAAATCGGTAAGCCTCTTCCGTTATAGGAATTACTTAGCTATTATCCCGGTTTTAGTATCGTGTTCTAGTATATTATATAAATCGCCTCTAGTCGTGAGCGGTCTCCCTATAGCACCGAAAAGGTTCTTACGCTCCTCCTGAATTATATCCTGGTATTAGAGCACCACGTACTCTGCTATCTCTGCCCCTCTATTACCGTAGGGGCACTATACCAATAAGAATCCCGGTACCGTCGCCTTAGCTAGGAACGCTTATAGGGCTAGTTTTTCTAATCTAATTTAGGTAAGTACGGAGCTTTATAGCTTCAGGAGTCCTTTTTACTTTCGGGGGGTTTATCGTATTAGGGGGCGGCTTAGCGCCGTTATAGCGTATAGATAGGGCCGCTGAACCTCCGTCTAAGTTCTACCCTATACCTTTATAAGGGCTTTCCTCGGGGGCGAGGCCCCCGCTTAGGTTATTAGGGCGGATAGTTTGGTAATCTACGCGAGGGCTATATATATCTTATAGTGCCGATTCGGTGCCGCGAGTGCTCTTATGGCGGCGGATATCCTAGCTAGTATCTTATCTTTAATACCCTTTTTCTAGATCCGGAGGATCTTCCGGGCGCTAAGGCTTAAGAGGTATAGGTTAAGGGGGGGATAAAAGTCTCCTTTTCGAGGTCCCTAATAGATATAGCCTTATAGGCTCCTGCTATTAGTCTAAGATACCGGTTCTACACCGCTATAAGCGCCGCTATAGGGCCGTATCGGGGGCCTACTCTAATCCTATAAACAGCTAAAGTATAGTACGCTATTACCGGTCTAATTACTATAAGGTATAACCGCCTGATGTTTCTAAAGCTATACCCCTACACTACTGCGCTAAGCCTTAAAAGGGAATATACTTAGGTAGCGAAGCGACTCTTTAAATCCTTAGTATATTATCAGAAATCGAGTTTTCAGTCTAGCTAAATACCTAAAAGCCTTATCGCCTTTACTACCGGCACTAATATAGCGTTAATGGGGAGTAGCGTGGGTAAGGGTTAGCGCGACTTCGTAAAAGAGATATAAGTATACTTAGCTAGTTTAAATTATAGTCCGCTTATTACTTCCTAGTTTAGGCAGGTTTGCTACGCGGCGGCGAGGCGGTACTATGTTTATATCTTAGTTCTCCCGAAGGCGATAATATTCGTATTATCTATAAAACCCGTTACTATTATTTTAGGAGTCGCCTTTAGTTCCTCGTAAAGAGTAAAGATATAAAGAATAAAGAGGATAGGAGATATTAGTAAGCCTTATGGGATACCCCCCCTAAGGTACTACGGGGAGGATATCTTGCTATTAAGTAGTAGTTAGGCCGTGCAGTCTTTGAGGAAACTGCTTATTAGTATAGAAAGCTAGGGGGGGAAGCCTTTCCTTTTAAGTACCTTAAGAAGATAAGCGTGGGGGACGGTATCGAAAGCGTCTTTAATATCTAGTTACAGTGTTAAAGCGGTGCTACTATAGGCCCAGCTCGCCCTTACGGCTTCCGTGACTCTTTATATTACTATCTCGGTACTTCGCCCTATTCGGTTACTTATTTACCCGTCTAGGAGGAGCCGATACTCCTCTGCTATAGCGGCGATATAGTTAGCGAGTATTCCTTTAAGGACCTTACCTATTATATTAAGAAGTAATATCGGTCGCTACCCTTTCGCTATTCCGTAGTCGGCCGGCGGCCGGCCTTCTTTCCTAAGTACCACCACGGTAGTATAGCGGCACCGCTTCGGGTAATAGCTAGCTTCGAGGCACGCTATAAAGATTATACTTAGCCTTTAGTATAGGGGGGTTCTATAGCCCTTTAAGAGCCCTGCTAAGAGTCCGTCTAGCCCTAGTATAGCGTAGGGCTTAGTCTTCTTAAGACGCCCTTATATATCCGCTACGGTAATATCGTGGCGGACGTTCTAACAGGGGGGAAGCTCTACGCCTAAAGGCCTATAGGTAATAGGATAACGGGGGATATAATAGCTATTTTATAATTATATAGAGGCCCTATAACCTAGGACCCCGGCGGCACCAAAACGACTACTCCTCGTTATCTTTCTTATTACACCTCTTAAAGGTATTAACGCCGCTCTTAACGTACTTAAGACCCTAGAATAAAATAGTTAGCCGACTTAGTACCGTAAGGGGGCCGTAAGGGGACCTTATCGAGGCCACTTATATAATAATCTAATAAGATACCCGCTATACCCTTAACGTGCCGAAGTTAGCGTAATATATTCTATAACTCCTCCGATAAGGTGCCGCCGAGGCCGGGACCAGAAAGTAGCACCTAAGAGATAGCCCGTCTAGAGGATAAAGCCGCCGTCTTTAGGCACTCTATAGCCTATAAAATACTAAACAATTAGCACAGCACTACTAAGATACTAAAGGGGAACTATTAACCGTAGCGATACCTATGCTACTGGTGGCCTTAGCCGTTATATACGCTAGATAGACTTCTATAAGATATTACTATTAGTTTTAGTAGCAGGGGGGACCTAAAACCCTATTAGACCTATCTGCCCTAGCACTCTAGTAGCACCCTCGCAGTAAAGGGACCACTTATATCCTTATGAGAATATCGGCTATTAGTATACTAAAAGTATATAGCGCCCGTGCTTAGTATATTAGAGTAGGCTTTAATATTATTAGGATATAACCTTATGCGTTTACTATAGCCACGGCACCTACTATATATTAACGATAAGATACTACCTTAATACTATAAAGGTATATATACGGTATAACACGGGTTATACAACGCTTATAGCGGCGATTATTATCGTTATTATAGGGAGGTATCTATAATAGTTAGTATACTACTACGAAGGTACTACCATAGCACTAGCACTTATATTTATTATTACTATTATTATTATTATATTCGTTACTATAACACTACCTAGTTAACTCTATATTACTACAGCGATACCTATAAACCACGAATTATATATTAGTTAAGGAATTAGGAAAGAATTATATATAGAGAACTAGAAGGCGTTATTAGTTAGTATAACGCTGCTATAATAGGTCTATAAGGTTATAAATAGAAATATAGCGTAATGGAAAACCTATAGTAAGCTCTAAGACGTTATAGGAAGAAAAAGTAAAAAAAGAAAAAGGTCCTTATCGTTTATTAACTATCTATACGGATATAGGCAGAGCGCCGCCCTCCCTATCTACCGCTGGATATAAAAGGCACCTACCCTTAAGGGATACAGGAAAGCTTACCTTACCTTTTCCTTTTATTAATTAAACAGAAGGGATAATAGGAATAGCCCCCGGGGATATAAGGAGGCCGGATACGGCGTACCGCGGCCACTATATAGCAGAGGCGCCGCGGTACCCCTTCTAGCCCCCCGCCCCTTACTAAGGGCCGGCCTAGGCTAACCCGAACTATAGCCTACTACCCTTTCTGTTACCTATTAGCCTAAAGGTATAATCTAGATACGTAGAAAAGACGAACCGGGGCTATCTCGGCCCCGTAATAGTATTACTCTTACTAAGGACGAGTATAAAGGTTTTCCCCGGAACCCTGGGTTTTCCTCTTTATAGCTAACTAAGAAGGACTATATAGTCTAAAGTTAGACTCCTATAAAGTAGATAGGATAGCGGGGTAAGAATAAGAATAATACTAATAATAATAATAATAATAATAATAATAATAATAATAATAATAATAATAATAATAATAATAATAATAATAATAATAATAATAATAATAATAATATTAATAATAAGGTTGTCGTGATTCCCGCGTCCATAGGCGTCGGCGTGGACGTGGAGGCAGAGGAGGTAGAGGAGCTATTAATACTATAATCGGCTTTAATCGAATAGATAAACTAATCCGTTAATTGTAATAGTAATAGTAATAGTAGTAGTAGTTAGATATTCGAGTAATAGGTGGATAGGGAGCTAGATTCTATAATATAACCTTAATTAGTGGGATTTAACTATAAAATATAGTAACGAGTTTTAATCCGAGCTATTAAGATTATACCTACTCCTGTCTTTAATTAGCTAGAGGAGTTAGATTAGTTCCTACGTAAATAGCTTAAAAACGATATTATAGTTATTTATAATCGTTATAACCGTACATATATTATAGTTATGTGTGGAAGATAGAATTCCGAAAAAGGGAATTTATGGGACTATAACCGAACTATAGTCGGAATAACCGGTTGCTATAGTCGGAATAACGGCTCTTAAAAAATATCCTGATACCCGAGGTCCGTGTCGCACGTCAAAATGCCACTTATATAATCAACTTAATAGATCAGAAATCTCGTGTCTATATATTATATTAAGTTATATCTGTGTACGTCTCTTATACCCTTAATTTAGGCAGTAAAGACTCTGTTATAGGTACTATATTATTTAAATCCTATCCGGTCTTTTCCGGTACCCTCCCTTATTATATCCTGATACCCGAGGTCCCCGAGATCCGAAGCCCTTAGTCAGGCATGGTCTGTGCCCATGGGACAGTTCTGACACCTGCCACCTAAGCGGCTGTTTATGGTGCTCTGATCCTGGCAACACTTCTGAGCTTGCCGAATGTCGTGTTCTCTCATCCATCTTATTATGCTTCCAAAATACCTGTCGTTATGCTTTCCTAAACTAGTGTCCTGACACGTATATGCTAGTCGTCCTTCGGTAATATCGTCCTTCGGTAATATCTTCCATCGGGTCTGTGTCCGGATATTCCATTCTTCCTCTCGACTAGAAGGCGAGAAACGTTTGCCACTCTATTCCCGCACAATCTGCTCATTCTGGCCCGTCTCGAAGGGGTCATCCAACAACCTAGGACACAAAGTGTGGCCAAGACGACGCAGAAGGCAAGATGGCCTTCAGCGACGATTCGGTATTATCCAGGCTCTCGTCTCTCAATGAAAGCCACGACAGCATTGCGACTGCAGCTCAATGGATTATGTTCCATAGGTACGAGGCAGTCCATCTTAAGGAATTCATGAGGTGTCAATAGGTCGAGTTATGATGAGCCTGCTAACCGTCCCAGGCGACATGCTGAACGAACAGCCCATATTTGGCTTCAGAGATTGAGAGATTCGTCCAGCATCAGGCGCTTGAGCTTGATTTACCTCGCTAATGGTAAGCTGCCTTCTGTCGTCGCCCGGTGTGTCTACAGAGACAACAAACACTTACCTTACTCAATGCCTCCCGTAGAGGTCACCCAACAGTCAAAGGCACGGCACAGGCAGGATTTCGTGATGGCCTTCTCGCCCATCATTGCCGAAGCTCTGGCTGTTGCTTACAAGGGGGCCCCTTCTGATATCCAAGCAAAGCTCAGGCGGGTCGTTGAAGTCTGGGCCGACAGATCCATTTTCGATCCAGCTATACAGGCGGCCATCGAAGCAAGGCTACAAGGTTTGCATTTTCGTCGGTTCCCACCTTTAAGTGACATTCGACTGTACACTAACACATACCTAGACGTAGAAAAGTCGAAGGCGGGAAGTAATGGGGCTTTCGGTTCTACTACCGGCTCGATTCCGCCGGAGCTGTCTCCCCTTCTAACGGTGTATGGTAAAGTCGAGAAAACCCGGCTGCCAGCGAAGTCGAGTACAGATTCTGCAGATCATGACTGGGACAATCTTCGGGGACGCGATTCTCCCATTCCATCCGCTCCAGTCTACGCTGCACGACTGAACGGCCTCGTTCGGAGCCTAGCGACCGCTGAGGTTGCAGTAAGGGAGTCCATTCAGGCTCGGATGAGCCTCATTGAAGAACTCGAGAAGCTACTTGGTTCCCACCGGGAGGCCCTCATCACGGACGAAGCCAAGCTCAGCACATTGGCCACTCGGAAAGCCGAAATCGAAAGCAAAAAGCAGGAGATCGAAATCGCCATTATGCGCACGCTTCCCGTTCCAGAAAACCGGCAGGTATCGCCTGATGGTCCCGCTGACAGTCCTCTGGCTGAGCCAGAACGACCCGAGATAGAGGAGCTTACCCCACCTCCGCTCGATCCTGGGCCAGTTGAGCCGACATCAATAGGTCATGCAGGCGCAGAGGTACCAGAGTTCCGTTCAAAATTTGACAACGACAACGGTCCGCAGGTTCAAACTCAAGATGCAAAACACCAAGGACCTGTCACCTCTGGCATTGAGATGTTATCAAACCTTGCCAGTCACTACAAGGCTTTGCCGACTTCCATCAACGGCTCCAAGAAACGTAGGCTAGACGAGGGGACTGAGATTCCGGACCTTCAGACAGACAACGGCATTGAACCCGGCGTCGCGGAGATGCTTCGAGAATATAATACCAAACCATGACCAGAACATCTGGCATATAGCGAGTGAATATTAGCACTGATTCTTCTCTGCACATACATAGGCTGCCATGTTATTATATATAGTATTGCCAAGGAAGATGCTATTATACCGGGGAAAAGGTACAATGTAACGGATAATGCTATTAGGGCTTAATAGTCGTATTTTAAAAAGACTTTAACTTAGTACTAATATAGCGATCTAGTCTTGCCGAGCGGTTAGCGGTCCGAGCGTATTTCCTTCCATTCTATACAATACTAACAAATAGCGCAGCTCTGTTTCTTATAAGTATACTAATATATTACTAATATTAAATATTTATAAAGGATATAACTAATTCTATTAATATACTGTATCTTAGGTAGATATAGTTATTTATTTATATATCTATTTATCTTACTCCGCTGTCCTATCTAATCTATAGGAGCCTGTTTTAGGCTATATGGTTTTTTTTATATAGTTATAGAGGGGAAAACCTGGGGGAATACCGGGAAAACCTTTATACGCTTCCTTAGGTAGAGTAGTATCGCTGCGGAGATAATATAGGCCCGCTTTATCTCTGCTATGTATCTGGAGTATACTTTTAGGCTAGTGGCTAATAGGAAGGGTAGTAGGCTAGGGTTCGGGTTACTCTAGGCTAATCGCTAGTAAGGGAGTAGGGCCTAAGGGGGTACCGCGGTACTTACGCTATATAGCGGCCGTGTTACCCTATATTTGGTCTCGTTATATCCCCAGGGATTATTCCTATTATGCCTTTTACTTAATTAATAAAGAGAATAGGTAAGGTAGGCTCTTCTACCTCCTTTAAGGGTAGGTGCTACTATATCCAGTAGTAGGGGGGTAGGGTAGGGCTCGGCCTATAACCATAAAATAGTAGATAGTTAATAATCTATAAGATCGTCTTTATTTTTTCCCTCGTTCCTTTCTATAACCCTATAAAACTTATTACACGTTGCCTCTATATCGTATTCCCGCTTATAGTCCTATAGGTTTACCGTCCCGGCGTTTTAACTAACTAGTAGTCTCTGCTAGTATTCTGATTTTGCTTTATATATATTATTTCTTAGTACGTGGCTTATAGGCGGCGCCATAGTAGCGCGGGGCTAATTAGATAGTATAGTAATAGTAATATATATAACTTTTTAAGATTGCGAATAAGCGGAAAGGACGAAGGTCACGAAAAGCAGGTGGTAAAATACGAAGGTAATAATAGGATTATAAGGTGGGATTTCTGCGCGCGTGAAGTTCGAGAAAACCGATTTTGAAGAAGAATAAAGAAAGGAAGAACCGAACCGAGGGAACGGGTTAATATCCTTTATTTGTTCTTTCTTTCTAAAAGGATCGATACTGTAGTAATATCGTAATCCTTTGTCTGACTCGAACTAGATCCTTTGTTTAACTCGTATTAGATAAACTGACTCGAAGGAGAACGGTCTAGTGTCGCATAGGCACACGGACCACAACGTGGTCTATAGGGGATCCAGGGGGGATCCACGCTATAACTAAGGGCTTCGGATATCGGGGCCCTTAGGTATCAGGATATAATAGGGGCGGATACCGGAAAAGACCGGATAGGATCTAAATAACTTAGTACCTATAACAGAGTCTTCACCACCTAAATTAAGGGTATAAGAGACTCTCCTAGATATAACTTAATATAATATATATATATCTAAGATTTCTGCTCTACTAAGTTAATTATCTAAATGCCTTTTAACGTGCGATAGTTATAAGCCCGGTTTATAACGCCTAAACGATAGATATTAATAAGGCTACCCCTATTCCACTATAAAGAAGTAATCACGTCTATATAAGCACTCTTAAATAACTACTATCGACGTAATAAAAGTAATTAACAGATTAATTAACCTACCTATTAATTAACTAACCGATAAACGATAAACTAGTAAAGATATCTTCTAATTTATTTAATGCTGAATAGAAGGCGGCCGTTATTACCCTTATTAATTAAAGGGATTAGGTAGTTTAGGAGCGCGCTATACGCGGTAAATCGGCCTCCTACTAGGATAATTACCTTAATCTAAAGCTAAGCGATAAGGAGGCTAACGCCTATCTCCTCCTTATACTTACGCCGCCTAATATCCGTAAATATAAGGCCCTCGCCGTGGACCCTAACGCGGAGGAGGCCACGGCTATTACCGGCACGGCTACTCTATCTTCTACTATCACGCTAGAGGGCGATAAGGCTATAGACGCTACGGACGCCGCTACTACTACGGCCGTTACTACGGCGGCCACGGCCGCCGGTAAGAAAAAGATAGCCGCCCGCCGGAAGGATATAGCCGTAACGAAAGAGCCTCTGACTAAGACGCCTACGTCTATCGATAACCTCTCTAAAAAGGGGCGCACGCGCTACCTATAAGATCACCGCGTATACCGCGAGGAAAAGGTAGACTACGACGCGTAGTAGAAGGAGTTTAATAAGGTACGCTCCTATATTAAAGGGACTATTTACACTATATTACGTAACGTCCTCGCCTAGCTATAGGATAATACCGTAAATAATCCGCGGGCCTAGATTCCTCTTCTACACACGCACGCAGGACTAATACTTATAGACCTCTATAAGGAAGCCTTAGTCCTATACCGATAATCCACCACGTCTATAAAGGCTATACCTAAGGATATAGACGCCTAGGTAGTAAGCTAGAAAATAGCGATACTACACTATAAATATATAGGCGTTTTAGAGCTATTAAGCGCGGACTATTAGGTGGAAGACGCGTTAAAAGCTATTAGACCGGTCGCCTAGGAATAGAGTAATAACTACCTAGTAAATAACTACGATTAGATTACAGAAAATAAGCTAACGATTAACGACTTCGTAAAGGCTTTACGTGCGGTTCTTAGTAATATAAAGAGCCTATAATCCACCGCTATAAAGCCTAGAGTCGGGGGAGGTACCTTTAACACCCTTAGGAACCTCCCCGATACTAAGGATACTACTAATAATAAAGATAATGAGAAGCGTCCTTATAATAACACGTCCGTAAAGGCTATCCCTCCCGTAATAAGGAGGCCTTACAAGATATATAAGAACCTCTATACTACCGCCGCCTATTAATACGTAAGACCGGATATACGCCCGTATATCTAGCGCGGCCGCGAAGATATTACGAAGGTTATAGAAAAGAAGATACATAACTATAGTTTTAAAAGCCGCGTAGATACCGCGATATAGAAGAGGCGGGAAGTAGTAGCTGCTACGGCTAATAAGATAGAGGAAATCTAGGAAGATTCACTCTATAATACTACGCCTACGACTATAATAGTGTATAAATACCTATCCGTTACCGCGACGGGACTAAGAGCCTACCTAACCTAGGGGGTAGCGCGTTATCGTACGATAATACTATTAACATTATAATAGGAATAGAGGGCATCCCTTTCTATTAACTAAGCCAGAGCGCTATTATACTACGCGATTCTAGACTTAGGATTATTAATCTATATCTTTAATAATCGAGGCCGTTTTACGGCTAGTAGACTACCCACGGATGCTTTATTATCCTTTTAGGTGGGTACTTATAAGGCTTCTATCCTCGGATACGGAGATATTAAGCTATATATATAATCCCTATCCGGCACGAAAAGGCTACTATGCCTCTATAACGTTATATACTATAAGGCATTTATTACTAATATAGTTTTAGAACGCTAGCTACGCCTATAAGGTTACCGCTAGGATACCGTAAATAATACTATTATCAGCTCCGCCGATAACCGGCCTATCTATAACCTACTAGATATCCACCACTAGTATATAATTAAGCGGGCGGAAGCTATAGCCGCTACTGCGTTCGCAGTCTTAGCAAAGCACCGCCGCGATAACCCGTATAGAAGATTATAATAACCGCGGTAACCGTAGAAGACCACGGTATAACGGTGGTATAAACGCCTCGGGCACTACGGTACCGATACTCTTATAAAGATCGTCGACGCCACTTAGGGAGTAGAGATAAAGGGACCTCGTATAACGGACTATAACGCGTATAAATAATTATAAGTGCTTATGTAGATCCGGCAGATACTATCCCTTTACCCGTTAAAGCCCGGAGAAGCCCTGGCTATTAATTTCTATAATCTAAAAGAGGCGGAGTCATTAGTAGGCGGCCTATATAAGTCTATTATATTCGTTATAGACGTGTATATAGACTATATATAGGATTAATACTTATAGAAGAGAGACTAAGGCTTTATCTTATACGCACTAAAAGACGTTTTTACCTTACTTAAGACCTAATTCCACGCTAAGCCACGCGTCCTAGGGGCCGATTCTAAGGTATTATAGCACCTAGAAGTCGTTACTTTCCTTATTACTAAGGGGGTAGAAGGCTAGCCGCCGGTACTATATTTATAGGATTAAAACGGCGTTATAAAACGGATTAAAGGTATCGTTGAAAGAAGGGCGAGGGCTATAATAATTAGGGCTAATCTGCCTACGTCTATCTAGTCTAAGATCTTTAAGCCTACTATATATCTGTATAATAGGACGCCACGATATATTAACGACTAGCGAACGCTATACGAAGGCCTACACGGCCGTTAACCTAACCTTACGCACCTATAAGCTTACGGCTATAAAGCCTTGATAAAAACGCGCGATACCTAAGATAAAAGGAACGGCCTATAAAGGCTAGAACCGAAGGTATAGATCGGTTATTATATCGGATACTAATCCTTGAATAGCTTCCGTATTTAGCTACTATACCTAACGGATATTATTACCACGAGAGATATAGTCTTTAATAAAGATAACATAATTAACAGTAGGATTTAAACGCCATAAGCTATAGCTTCCGCCGAGGAAATTGGGGAACGCCTATAATCTATCCGTATCACTTAATCTAATAAGACCGCGAATAGGCTACTATTAAGGGGTATAGCCGTAGACGTATTAGATCTTAAGTCGGAAGACTCTAACGCTACCACTATTACTACGGGTAAAGGCGACGCTACGGTTATTACTACGGATAAAGGTAAGACCGTCGCTATTACTACGAGAGAGGCTACTACTATTACTATAGACTATATCGCTACTCGTTACGAGGTTCTAAATCTATAGCCTAATACCTAGGCTATAGATTTAGGACCTTATAACTCTAACGCCACCACTATTACTACGGGAAAGGCTATTACTATTACTATAGACTATATTACCGCTATTACTATAGGAGAGGCTACCGCTATTACTA